TCTGCGATGAAAGCTTTCTTGTACTTCAGGACTTTCTTTCCGGCTCTTGACACATCAGACGAAATAACGACCTTGACAAGACTAGACAGAATATGATGTTCGACACTCTACTAGCGTGCAGATGGAACCATCGAGGGTCTGCTCAACCTTCTGACGACAAACCCGAATCGAACTTTATGCATCTACGACGAGTTTCGTACTTTCCTCAACGCCATGGGTCTTTATAAAGGCGGGGGCCAGGGAGCTGCGTACGACGTCGCAACCTGGATGAAGCTATATAATGGCTCTAGTACAAAGAAGCATAACGTTGGCAAGGTTCTCCGGATACCAAAAACTTCGATGTCCATAGTTGGCTTCACGCAGATCTGGAATGCGTTTAAGTTTCTAGCACGAGATGACCACGAGGGTATGGGCTTCAAGGAGCGGTTTATGGTCGTCTTCCCGACTCCAATACTTCTTCCTTTCAAGGTATGTCGGACTTTCCAGAGTTCGCTCCTAGTCGCCGGCCGTGCTCGTGAACAGATCTCGCGCAATAGTCAACTTGAGCAACAGCTTTTCCGATCAAATAGATTTATTGTCTGCGGGAAATAGGAATCGAAAGGTTTGGCACCTGAGAAGCGGTCGTTGGCGCCAGCATTTGCATATGGTAGCTGGGCCGGAAAGGACTGTAAATATTGACTTCTAATGCATCCTTTTTGCACGCAGGACATTGGCAAGGTTCCGCAACTACCACGTGGACTGCGTATTTCCCAGCCTGCAAACGAAAACGAGGAGTTCGACTATGATAACAATCCGCTTCGAGGATCATTGCTTCATCAGCTTCTCGAGACCTTTTTGCGTATTGGCGAAGATCACGGCAACAAAAGCCGCGTGTGGCTGTTTACGGAGGAGGCCACGGAGGAGGCAGGGAAAGCTCACGATGCTGCTAACGACGTCATATGGGACCATTGGAAGGAAGGGGACGAACCGGGAGGGGGTAAGTGTTTACCTTGGCAGCTCATAGTGGGTCGACATGAAGCCAAATCACCTGACAATTGAGTCCGATGGGGGGGTCACCTTCTTTAATTTCAAGTGCTTTTCACCGCCGCCGTTTCAATTATGACAGCTCTTACGCTTTGACAGAGGCAAGGGCTCCACCAGCTATGATAAGACCAATTTGCGCGGCTCAGACTCCTGCGGGGTTTACATGTTCAGATTACCAGAGTAGTCCAATTAAGGAAAAAGCGTCGCAAAAACTCCCAAACTTAGTGACACCCCTCAAACTTACAAAGATGTAAGCCTCCGAGTCTTGCTTCCTAGCACCTATAGTATCCTACTTTCTGAGTTTTCAAGTCGTGTCAACTGAAACCAGTAGCCGGCGCCGCTTGCAGCGACAACTTCAAAAGAACGACCGCAGACCCACCGGGTTGCGCTTGCTTTTGCTGTGGTGGAGCATGCACTAGACCAGCTTTTGCAAGAAGACGAGTCGACCAGGCCTTACGGTGTTGTCGGGCTGGATTGCTATCGGGGCGCTGAAGCTTTGTGCGCTTACATCAAGCAAACCAAAGAGGTAAGTCCGGACGTCGAGTCGTCTCCGGTCGTAATTCAGGACCATGAACCCGGGCCCATGTCCGCTCCATGTCCGAAGGTTACTCGTGAAACCGGGCGCTCTGATATCAAGTCGGAGCACGGCCGCGTGGCAACCCGGCAATGGGGCAGGCCTATAGATTTTCGGACTCGGACTCGGCCCCAGGCCGCCGAAACTGAGCTTCTATAGATGTGCAATTGACTTTCGAGGCGCTATAGCTCAATGGATCAGTGTTGACTTTCGGATGTGCAGATCCTTCTGGCAGATCCTGTCGAGCAGGATCTGCCCCTGACCGGAGAGGACGCGCTAAACGGAGAGCCAAAGGCAGGATCGACCTTTTCGGCGCTGGACGTCAACGCTTTGAACAAGGCTGCAAAAGTGAAAAGGTTGAAGACTTGCCAGTACTGGCCTTGCCCTCTTGTCTTCCAGCTGCCATTCCGATATAAGATTTCGAAATATTCAAGTTATGCTTTCAGTTTTGGGACGGACTTTGAAGAAAGCATCAGGAACTGGTGCGCCTGCAGTGGGCCGGTTGCACGTCGGGTCTTCGTGATAACGGCGCAAGTTGATCAGTGTAAATAGCTAGCTGGCGGAGTATAAGTTCAAGGTCTAGACTCCTGGTTTAATCTGGTTCACGAAGCAGATGTTTTGCACTGCACTTGCAGTGAAGTTCCCATTCTGTACGACGCTGAGCATTGAAGATGCTGCAAACGCATCATACACAATTCAGTGAGTACCGGTCAGTGCCCTTTCTCTGGAGTGTGCTTGAGCCTGTTTAGTCGTCATAATGCGCAGGTCACTTCTTCTACAACCAGGCAACACGATAACGAAGCCGGACATGCTACGAAGGAAGGATTTCATCACATATGTAACGGAACTTGCTGTCGAAGGCCTTTGTTCGGCCTACCGCCTGCTTCCAGCGCAAAAGTGAGTTTGCCATAGATTCGATTCTGAGAAATCAGCTTCTCGTACTAACAAAGCTACATCTTTCACTTGACTCTTTGTCTTTATGATTGATGGCCGCTACAATTGATCCACATCTCAAGCTTAGAGTTGGGTCGTATCCCAATACTTACCATTGAATCAGTGCTAACTTCACCGGATGCAGATCACCTTCAATCAATTTTGTCATCTCTCTCTAACAATAAAAGAGGTCACGCCCGGCAGTTGTCGTGACCGTTCTTAAATCAGCTAAGAAACGGTGAAATCTATCAAGACCCATTTGCAATATAATTTACTTTGATTTGATTTTTTTGACCTGACAGGGGCGGGTGGGGCCAGCCACTAGCAGACAAAACGAGCCCCATCAACATGCCGGACGACGATACAGTCCAGGTACGCTGGAGTGCTCGTTGGGCAGCACTGGCAGCATCATCATCAGCTTTGTGCCTTTGTATCTTGAGCTTGGGCACCGTTGAAAATTAAACACACTTTCCATCACTTCGGCTCTGATTTTTGCATCGGACCGCCGTCCTTCCTTGCAGCTGATTGATCGGCTAGGAAAGTACAAGGTCGGGTACACGGAGTACTGCAGCGCCTTTAAGCAGGTGAGTAAGAAATGTTGTTCTATTATACGAGCTGATCTTGTAACTACAGCAGATTCAAATGCAAATCAGTGGACTTCTTACAAGGAGAGTCGTATCAAAAGTCCGTTCGCACTTCTTCCCATCCTCTTCAAACGCGCTTCAAGTCAAACACTAGCACTGTAAAGAAGAAGGACAGCAAATCAGGAATTGAGCTGGTCGTCTTAGGTTCTCCTGCATATTGTAAATCGTCACGTACGTTGCATATTAGAACGTTCCAGACGAAACTCTAGGCTTTCATTAATATCGACATAAACCCACAATGTTTACGGTTTGTGGGTATGCAGACGGCCGTCGCAAGCGTTGATGGGGGTGCACCAAGCTTCGACCTGGGAATTGAGCAGACGCATCCAGAAACTCAGGTTCGCAGCTCGACTTCTCTATTCTTTTGGCTTTCCTGACCGTATCAAACATCGACGTAGCTTTAAGTTGGGGACTGTATAATCTGACTCTAGCACAATGATTTCGTGTACTCATGGCGGGCACCAAACGTATCCGACCTTAAGATGATCGGAAGTCCGTGTAGTATCGGGCAGCCCAGACGCTTACCTTGACCCGGAACTACTTGATGTTTTCTATCTGTTGAAGCGACCTCCCCCCGCATGACATCCTCGCATAACCTATGCTTCTTGGAGCATACCGGAGACTTCTGGATCTAAATCGGGCTGACTATGGCAACCCATCTGTAACTTGAAGCTCCGTTGACAAATTTAGAATGTTGGACATGAGAAAGTGAGTCGACACTAAGGAGCGTGAATAAAACTCAATCGATTGAAGTTGTTTTCAAGAAATAACGCATTGAATCTTACATGTAGAACATACAACGAACGACTCCCCCGGCCGCAACTTTACAGCAGCTGGTGCTGCAAAGGTCGAAAGGCGCCGATCCTAGCTCAAGTGAGCCAGCCAATCTTGAGACGGGTGTGGAAACGGATGTTGGCCTGGATCCGCTAGGTGGCGCTAACCTAGCCCTTCGGACGCCGGGGACGAAGACAGGAAGCCCGGCCGCGAACGCAACCAAGCAAGCCGAGGCTCATGGTGAGTATGCATGGGCATGCCATCAATACTACTTTCAAACTGGCACGTTCGAGGGTTGGAGTCACCTGCTGCGGTGCGGCACGTAGTCTTGAATTGATAAGTCTGATAAAACGAAATTTTTCTATGCCAGCTTGACTGAGTCTAGTCGCCCGGATAGGACGGAAGCACCTGACGCAGCTGCCATCCGCCGTCAATCCCGAGGCTTCGCAAAGTGCACTGGGAGTCCGCTTTGAAGAAGTTAAAACCCAGGTCCTGAAATCCAATCAAGGAACTTTCAATCTCATTCGTCCTAGGATCCATTGAGTGATCTAGCACTCCTGAAATATGTGCGTACTCCTGCAGGTATTGCATCTCCACAGGGATTGGCCTTGATCAAGCAGGCAACCAATGCTGCATCTTCGGGACTGACTGAGGCCGAAGACGGAGACGGTCTACGACCTGCTCTAGAGAATGCGCTGAAGCTCACTGCCGGTGTTGAGAAGGCCGCTAAGGCGGCCGCATATATGAGGTCTATCAATAGTCCTGGGGCGGACTCGGCAACTGCGACGGCCAACCTTGCCTCGACTCTTGCCCAAAAGTCTTTGATGGGCGTGGTTGAGGTGGTAAGGTCAAGAGGCTCTACGGCAACAGAGAATGCTATCAACGCGGCCGAAGATGCTCAACTCGCGGCTTCTGCTCTACTAGCAGCGGGACAAGTCCGACCACCGCCTCCTTCCAAGCAAGCTGCTAGGCCGGAAGCTGTGGATGCGATCGAGGCGTTAACCCGGTTTGCTCAAGGCCTTGGAGCGGATCCCCAATCACTTCTTATCGCTTTGCAAGGAGCTTTACCCCAAACCGGCGGGTCCGTTCTCCTGGCACCACCGTCAGGAACCGTCAACCACCCCCTCCCGCCATCCCAGCCAACGGCGAATTTCATTGTTGATGCAGAAACACATCAAGATAGGCTAGGAACTGCACAAGACGCCAAGGATAGCCAGAAGCGTTTGATGGACAGCCTTGCAGGGGCCGCTATCACGGGGAAGGCCGCACTCGAGGAAGCTACTGAGAGCCCCGCAAAAGGGAAGAAAAGGCTCAGGAAGGCGGAAGGTACGGGCCAAGCCGAAACTAGGGCTACGAAAGCCGCAACCGCGGATGCTAATAAGCCCAAGACAAGAGCCAGAGGCGTTCGACAGTCTAGCAAGCCGCAGATTTGAGCTTGTCCACATACTTCTGTTCTACAATTGCTTAAAACATAGAACTTTTCGCATATGATTTTATGAACTCTTAGGTTGAGGCTCTTTATGAGCCGTATCTTGTAGCTACGACTTTAGCTGGATTTCTCGGAGCTGATTGGTTTTGTTTCTAATTCAATAGTATAAGGATTGATTCTATAATTTGACATAGCTTTCATCCGTTGTGTAATTTGAGCACTAAAGGAGCCGCTTGGGAAATAGGAGACGTACCACTTGTAGGCTCGACAGAATTTGATGACCGTTTGACGTTCGCTGTAGCAACACGTTTCACGCCGCCCACCTTCAACGAATTCTCCATCTCGACTGAGTCAGTGTTCTGCCCACTGCTCATTTCAATGGTACTATGATACTATCGCTACTTATCATGATGGATTTAATCGAGCCAACTTTTGGGCTTATGAATCGGCGCTCTTTCATCCCCGGTCTCTGAGTCTAAGGCCTATCCTGGACGGGCGAAGGTCGCAGAGTTGCGGTGAAAGTCGCGGACGAACGTCGCAAAAAGTCGCGGAAAGTCGCCATGTAACGTCGCGAAGCATTCAAGCACCATGGCTAGTCACTTATTATAGCTAGAAGTCATGCACACTTCTCGAAAACTTCTACGTACGTTTTGCTTTCCATAATGGTTAAAATGAACGTACCGGTCGCCAACACTAGTGG